GAGTTGACGCATTTCCATGACGAAGGCTCCGTAATAATTTAGGAGTCCCAGGAATGATCGTAGTTGTCCGATGTCTTTGGCTCGTGGCATCTTCTTGATGACCTCCGTTTTGGCAGGATCCGGGTGACGTCCATTCGCATCAATGATGTTGATGTCCAGTCCAGCGATCATGGAGTCTCGGAGCCGATTTAACTCCGAACGGTAAACGGTTAAGACAAATAGTCCTCTGTGCGTGTTGATTCGTCAGAAGTTCCTTCGAAGCTTCATCGACTTCCACCTTCAAGTAGGCATCAGCGAAATCGATCTGGGTAAACCGTTTCACCATTGCTTAGTGAAGACATGCGGCGTAGGCAGTGGGTGCTGGTGCAGCATCAGTGTTGAGGCCAGTTGAATAATCGGCGCACAAGCGAAGGGTTCCATTTGCCTTCTTCACCACGACGACAGGTGCAGCCCACTTTGAATAGGTGACGGGAGAGAGCACGTCCTCTGCCAGTAGACGGTCAATTTCCTTGTCGAGAGCGGCCACATTAGCGTACGGTACCGGCCGTTTCTTCTTGAATACAGGAATGGCGTCGGCTCTCAACTTCAGCGTTGCCTTAGTCGTCGTACAGCGTCCGAGACCAGGCTTGAAGACAGTTGCAAATCTCTTCTTTAACTTGGCTATGACGGCGTCTCCGTAGGAAGAGACGTGGTCCACGACGTCGTCCGATGGATCTGGTACTTCCTAACGGATCAGAATCGGGAATCGGAAAAGGAGGAAATTTAACACATTGCGGACCGCCGTTTTATGATTACGTTTTTTGCACTTCCGCATCTTTCTTATACATATTTCTTAGAAATGAATCGTCACTAATCTACGCGGACCCTGCGACTGCGCCGGACTAACGCTCGGGAGAAGAAGAAGAAGAGGAATCATTAATCTATCAGCAATTATATCAGTGCTTACACGTATGGTTTCCAGCTCTGAAATGAGTGAAAAACAGTTTGGAAACATTGAAAAGTGTCAAGCAAATCATATAAAACTATACTTTCGTACGAAACACACTGCGTACCGCATGCCACCAAATGGCGCACGGTACGCAATGTGGACGACTGGACTTGTCGAAGGGTTCAATATTGGAATGTCAGCAGAGCTTTTGAATATGTGCGTGATTTATCACTGACTGGTTTCTTTTCGAGAACTTGGTTTGATTTAGTTGGCGGCTCGACTATTTCGTCTACTGAAGACATTTCTTTTTTGAAAAGTGCACAGTATTATGAAAACATGAGATCTTAGTGGGAAAAATTCCATTTGGAAGAAAGCGGCACTGCATATGGGCCAACCCGGGTAGCGAGATCAAGATTTTAACAATGTCATGAATATACACAAATTGCCCCATTCAAATACCCGTGTATACAACGGACCTCTCTTCTGACGAGATCCATGATGTAACCGCTCTCGTGATCCTTCAATAACGATTGCGAAAGGGCGACATGGTGGCATCTTCACAGAGAGAATGAGCTCATGGACAGGATATTAAGTCGCTTATAATAATACAATAATAATTATATGATTATTATTAGGCTGTAAATTCAGTCTAGAGCATCTGAATTTGGGTAGTAGACCCGAAACTTCCATTGCCTCAGTCAACTTCCCTCAAAGTAGAAAATGAGCTCAACTTGGTGAAAGACTGCCTGGGTCTGTGGTCCGACGGGGGGACATGCCTGCTAACGAAAGAAAACGTGTCAAAACAGGTAATTACAGCCGAAACATGAGCAGCTAACATGATAATAAATGTAAACTGCTGTCAAGCCTAGTAATCCGTTCAGGGGAATAGCAAAAGAAACCAGGTCAAAAACTGTGAACAATTTTCTTTGTGTTGCGTGAACTTCATTTCTATGAAGACATTTTCTATGTTTTCCACCCAAACAATTACATATATCACCTTGATCCCCCATTACTCCAATAAACCCACCTGAATTATTTTTACTTCAGTGAGTGAATAACAGCTTTGACAGATGTAACAGGTTCCGACATATCTCCTTATCTCCACAACATCACGAGCGGTTGCAACAGCTGTTCTCCCTCGGAGAACACTCCCGACCCCTGCAACCCCATATTCAGCCTTCCGTGCTGTTCGCACGAAGAAAATACGTGTGTATTTCGTTTCTCCTGTTCAGTCAGCGATCAGTCTCGATGGAACAGGCTATGTGGCGGTCGCTAGCGCATTTCTACTAATACCATGAATAAGAAGCTTAGAAGATTCGTTAAGTATTTGCTAATGGTGCCATGTAGAGGGCTCTCTATAGACTTTGGAAGGTATCCAATAAAAATTTAACACTTCTGAGCACCAATTTGGGAAATTTGTTCAATCCAGTAGTATTCGTTATAATCGAGTGACCCAAGGGTCAAATGGATTCTATCAACGCTAGTGGACAAAACTGCTGGGATTAGTATCTTTCTCTACGAGCCCATGCTGGGCGCGCAATGATGGCATCGGTTGCTGTTGACCGAATGCACCATACATTCTTCTGGCATGAACTGTAGCACACTTGTGTACGCTGTAATAGTGATTATGGTTCATCACCTACATAAACTTATACGAAACTCATCCCGAGTATGGTTGCATTCACTTCAGTCTCGTTTCATGCCAGCCAATAAACCCTCTAGTCAACACGTCGATGACATTACAAATGGCGATCAATCAAATCACGCCAAAACCATTGGAGGAGGGACCAAGGGAGGATCCCAGTCAACGATCTGCTGCAGATGATGGAACAAACAACAACAACAGAACTGCTCGAGAGGATTGGCAATAGGCAGCCGTATTGCACCGCTTCTCGCCATCGTATTCATGAGTCGTTGGAGAGACGCTCGCTATCGTCGGGACTGCTGTTCTACGGCCGGTACATAGATGACATATTTGTCGTTAAAAATCTAGAACAGCACTACGTCAGACGTACCTCAAGCTGAATTCAGCGCACCCTAACATCGCGCTGACTGTCGAGGACCCTGAACAAGACGGTTTCCTACCGTTCTTGAACACAAAAGTGAAACTGTCCGAAACCAAGTGTTTCCATGTGGCACAAGAAGAGCGCTTCGAAGAATATCCTTATTCACGCAAGAAGCTGCCACCCTCTTTTTATGAAGAGGAATGTTGTTCAGAATACCTTGGCAACAGCTTGAAGGATGACGTCCACTAATGTTCCTGAAGTCATGGAAAAGGTGGAGAAAATACTTTTCGAGAATGGCTATGGAAGCAGACAGATCAATTGCTGGCGTCCATATCAGGTACCAGGAGGCATTCCATTGATTATTCCTTACCTCTCGGAATCCTTTGCGAAGGATGTCAACCGTGCTATAAAGAGGTCTGGAATGCCGATTCGCCTGATATTCCGACCGCCACCAACGCTACGCCGTCTGCTCACATCATCTCGATTGTACGAAGATCTGTGTGGCCGTTCAAACTGTCCATATTGTCGAGATGGACGGAAAATATGCCTTTTGAAAAATACCGTTTACGAAATAACGTGTGCGTCATGCTCAGAGATTTACATAGGAGAAAGTGGACGCCCTCTTTTCAAAAGGCTTGACGAACATCTCCGGAATCCTAGCAGTTATCCGGATAACGCCTTTTCGAAACACCGTTCATGCGCCACACACATGAACACCCACCTGAGATCAAAGTCCGTGTGATCTATAGGAACGTTGTGACCCGGTGGAGAGGAAGATAAAGGAGGCAATGGAAATACGAAGAAGAAGCCCACAAATTAACAACAGAGAAGAGCTGCGAACAGCTATGGAATTGCTCGCTACATAGTGAGATGAGAAAATGAAAGCTACGTGACATATGCTAAATCGCAAGGTATAAAGCAACACTACCTTCACCCTTGCCAACCCTCATCTGACTGTCCCATTTCATTTCGAGTGAGCAGTCAGAGAGGTGAGTCCTTTCACGTAGCCCTTTCCCATCTTTATCCCACATCATTTGCAGCAATTCCTGAAGCTCCCGGGACCAACCCGCCCCTTATCAATTTTCCTAAGTTGGTCAGTTGTTAAGGCTTTTCGCTTTGTATTGTAATTGTCTCATCTAGATCTGTTGTTGATGTAAAATTAGCATGCTTGTATTTGTAGACCTGAGGAAGGGCTTAAGGCCCGAAACGTCGTCACATAAAGTTGTTTGGAGTTTCATCAGAACAAAACCGAAAAGAAAGTTGCACAAGTTGTTGAATTGTATTCTTCTGTGATTTCCTAAATAAACCTGACTGCCATGTGGTTACTTCGTTCATCGTGAGTACGGAGAATGGGAGATCCTGGTCAACCTGTTTCGGTAAGCGATAGCCGCGCTATCATTTGTTGGGTCACTCAATGGATCTGGAGTGTCAAAAAGATTTGTCATGGACCACCCCATAAAGGGAATCTCATAGTCTCGTTCTTGAGTACTGTTGTGAATGATATAAACAAGTTGTTTGTTTTGTGATCTTCACTTATTGTTAGACTACCGACTATAGAAGCATCGGTCGGTGGTTAGACTTCATTCTTTTGTGTCACCTCCAGCATCAAATGCTTCACCTTCTCCGGCTGTACTACCAGACAGAGACACTACAGTGGCGATCAGGAAGTAACGACTCCACTCGATCCTGCACACTTCAGTGAACGAAGGAGAGAAGAGTCCTGTATCCTGTTTTCAGCTACCCACATACAACCTCCAGGCACGGAAATTACTTCTCTAGCGTGCCTGAGCCCGACCTTTGCCTTTAAGGAAACTTTAGTTGGGAAAGATGAGAAGGAACAGAGCGATAAGGGCGCTCATGTCCAGGGAAGGGGTGTTGAGGGCAGTGTGTAAGCCAATTACTTACTGGTGGCAATGGAATTTGCGCCCATCGGGGGGGGGGGGGGGAATGGGGGAGTTTTTAGGGGCACATGTGAGCAAATGTGTTCTTCCACTGTGGCGGTTCACCCCTCTTGTGAGCTTAGTCCTAATGTCATCATTGGCCCTGTTAATGTTCCCGCTAGGAGCATGAGCGCCGCGATCAGCAAGCATATATAGTTGGCACTGACTAACTATATCTTGATGAAAACTTGTTTTAGTGTTTTTATTCGCTTTAGTGATAGCAGTGACATTTTTCATGAAAGCTCTCTCTCATCTCCTTGTCCTAAAACCTCCTCGCCGAGATCGCTGCATTCGAATCTCAAAACCTGCGAACCTGCGAAGCCTTGCCTTGCCTGGATCGCCACGCATGCCGCCGCGTACCGGCCCTTGCGAGCCAAAAGTTCGGCACCCATTGACACCTTGTCCTAACTTTTCCCGAGAAGTGATAGGACAACATGCACTGCGTTCGCGTTGGTCACATTTGTATAAAAGGATACTACGTCAAATCCCGTTTAGAAGGCAGCCGTTGGAACTGGACGCTGGTTAAGGGTTGACAGAAATTTGTACACACAACTAACAGTGCTACTAAGTGTCGCAAATGTGGCACGAAAGCTTAACCAAGCCAGTCCAGCTTGTCTGTTGGTTCACTACATTATGCGATTGGGCCTTGTTCTGATTCGTTCATTTGCCAGGACATTGTATCTACGTTTGAAAGAATGATGTGGGCCCACAAACCAAAGCGTTGGCGCTATTGGAACCATACCATGCAATCGTTTTGCCACTTCGGAGCTCGTAATATTTCTTCACTATTGACCTTGTAACATTTCTAACTATTCTGCATACCGATTCGAACGCTGTCAAATACTTGCTTCATATATGTACAGATGTGTCTACTCATCTATGTATAGAATGGAGAAATTAGAAGATTTATCCGCAATCTGAAACCACATTTCAACACACTTCATGAGAATCTTTCCAAGAATCTAAGTAAAAAAGGCACATACACTATCTCCAGATAGGTAATTACATAGTGAAAACATGCAACGGAAACCCGTTCACAGGTAAACAGCAAAAAAATAATCCATTGCGGACCGGCTATGTGGACCTCCTCGAGTTTTTGTCATCTGTTTTATAGGTAACCAATAATCTGTCAAAATTCCAGTCAGTATGCAAATATATGATATATTCTGCGTCCGAAAAAAAGCTTTGTAACCTAACAGAATGCTGAATTAATCAACCATTACTATCCATTTCCGCATGCCGCAATGGGCTTTTTTGTTCCCATAGAAAGTGAGATATAGGAAAGCTCGGTGAAGAAGTAAAGGCGTGAGAATAATGGTGCTGTCCTTGGATTCTCACTTGGTTCTGCTTCAAGAACGTCGCCAAATCCAGACGGCACCCGCGCCTGCTTCGTGTCGTCTAAACGTGCCCACATCAATGATGACACGTTGTAGCTACTTAGGTTGAACACTCACAACTCTCACACCACTCAACACAAAGCGAGGCCTCAAGCAAAACGCGGAAACTGATAACGATAACCAACCGATCATTCATGCGACTGTGATGCTTCCACTGATTCTCCTTAACATTAAAAACTTCCACGGTCTCTAGATAGGCAGTGCCATCAAACCCTCCCACAGCGAATAGCTCCTCGGCGACAGCAGCCAGTGCTACCTGCAAACGACACCCTTTTTATTTTCTCTTTTGTACATATAATCATATACACTCCATTGCAAAACGGACGCCATACACAGGGTCAACCGTCACGTTCGCACTTCTTTAAAAATTTTGCGATCCCCTCTCCTTTAGGGGTGATCGATGTGATCCCTCCCCACCACCACCACCACCATTGCTACCACCAGCCTTAGAGGTTCCCCACATGAACTTCACTATTCCTGGCCACCACCTCATCACACCGCTTTTTCTATAAGTATTTGAGGTATTTGATTCTGAGACAAGTGGGGGGGGGGGGGAGGAAGGGGGATGGGTAGATTGGTATCATGAAGCAGCAGATCGACCGATTTTACCTGATTCCCACTACTTCTCAATCCTAAAATGGGCCTGCGCCCCCTTCCTTACCGAAGTCTCAAATGTGACCCTGTCGTTCGAATAGTGCGAACGGATGCTTCACCCTGGCCATATATTCAAATTTTGAGATGTAAGCGAGAAATTAGTGAAAAAAGACTGCCATTCGATTCATCATGT